TGTTGTGACGATGCTACCTCGCTCTGATGATTTCCGTCATATGACGGACGAAAGCTTAGCATCTTTTCGCCGGAATCGAAGGAGATTGCCTCAGAAACAGCGTCCGCATGAATCTTCCAGTAGAGCCATTCGACAGCTAGTCAAGAGGAATCCGCCGTCGTCTTCTGGTTGAACCGACCTTCAAATCTCTTCACCCAACACTTTAACTCGAAATGGAAGTAAGCTTATTCATTGTGCCAAGAATATAACTAATATGGCTGAGTAAAAAGGCAAAAATGTTGTAACTCAGTGAAAAACATCGCTCTGCTCACCAACTCCTTAACTCCAGCGTAATTTGGCTAACTAATTAAAGATCTATTCCAGTCAGGCAAAAGTTAATTATCCTGCATTTTGTTATTTTATAATGGACGTTTTTTATCGCATAAATGTTTTCATAATTTTGTCTTTTCTAAGTAGTTGTTGACATCTAAGATTAGCATTCACACCCATGAAAGTGGGGTTTACCACCAAAGTAAGCTTTTAATTAATTAATCGGACACATTAGCCAAGTAATAAAAGTTTCAGCGTCAGTAAGGATTTAAGGAAATAAACTATGTTGACTCAGACTTAAATCAATCTAAGACAGACATATTATAAGCTTCAGATGACCTCCGAGTGTTGGCACTTTGGAGCAAATAAGTTCGAGCGGCAAATTAGCTTAGAAAACCCAGCTTTGAGTACGAAATTTACTCAATTTAGATATCCAAGGCAAACAAACAGGAATACTTGATACAAGGTAGAATTTCTAAATGTGCGTAAAAATTGAAATAGGTTGGCAAATTGGATGATCGGCTGCTTACGAAAGGTAATCGTGACGGCAGTACAACCGAGAATTGCGCACAAAACAGCTTTTCGCCAGTCGACCCAGGCAGATACAGCACGTTGCACACTCCTCGTGCCAGTATTCACCAGCGATGTGCACCAGATATCGTTCAAGAATCTCTCCGCCGCAGCCTTTGCAGACTACTGGATATGACGCAGATGCTGCATTTATCATCGGCGGCGGCTCCAAAATGATCTGAGACATGCTGTTCGCTAGAATGTTCGTTGGAAAGGCCAGAACTGGCCCGACTCGATCGAGCATCTCTTCTAAAGTCAGGAAAAACAAGTGATTCGAACAGCGTGAATAGTCCGGGGGAAACAATAATGCACTCTTCCCAGACCAGCCTAAGGTGATGGGATTTGCTTAAATGAGTTTGAGCTCTATTCCCCATTGGCTCACTTTTCCGGCTTACTCTATTGAGAAGCATTATCAAAAATTGCCTTTCGGTACCTCTTTCTCTCACTCTCAACTGCCCACATTCCGATTGATCTATAACTATTTTTGTCCTAGCATGTGAGTACCAGAGTTCCCTCGTCTGGGCTCCGCTTATTTTCCTGCTCTGTCTAGCTATAAAGGCACAAGACAAGCCATATTTCTTAGTGTGGGAATAGAGGCAGATACCACTGAGTTCAAGTCTAGCGCAGGAAAACTGACCAATCAGCCACGGCACGACATAACAGGCCGTCCAGGCTGATTTGCAGTGGTAGCCTCGCAGAGCCGGGGAATAACTGATTGGTACGCGACCCGACAGAGCGGGCGGACCCACGAGAGGTATGAGAGGGAAGGGCAAGACCGAGACGGGAAGGGACCAGGCCTGGATTTGGAATCTTCTTTATTTGCCTAGATTGCTACATAGGCATACATTTATCCATGTATGTATCACAGCATATCGTTATCCTCTTGAAGAAGATTACTCAGGGGCGATCGATGAGATGAAATTATCTAAATGTGAAGAACGGTATGGCTTTGATGTCTCCTAGTCTGTTTTCATACTTTTGAAGAGAAGTCTCTATTGCTTACTCCCGTAGCACTTAAGAATAGTTTTTCGTTTCCATGATGTTTGCCTCATTAAAGATAAAGGTTTGGCAGGTTGATTATCGAGGGTTCTTGGCATAAACTAGCATTCCGCTCACAGGCTTTGATCCGCCCTCGACAAGGCCGACTTGGGAAAGCAGGGCTATGTGAAATTTAATTGAAATCTGAGGTCGACTCATAACAATGTCACTGTCACTTGAAGTTTAAGCGAAACAAAACATTAAATTACCTGTTATATGGAGTTGGCTTGTCCTCATCTACTCAATTTAGTCGTGTTATTAAGGATACCTCGAAAAAGGTACCACTTTCTGCGTCCCTTATCATATACTT